ATATTAATACTAATGAATATCATTTATTCAAAACAATTATTTATTCTTTTTAATCTCTCGTCTCGAGATTAATGCCGGCGCTTACAATATCACTTTTGGGCTTAATACTTTTGACGTTATTGAAAATTTTTTTGCCACTATTGTTCATTTGAAAACATATGACGATGTAATTCATCAATGTAGAGCATATATTTCAAGCATAAAGAGACGGTCTTTAGATTAGAAGAACTAAATAAACGTTCCAAACTATAGGTTTTCTTTATGAATTTAAACAAAACATGTGCAAGATCAAGTTCTATTGTGGTCTCAGTCGTACTAATTTTATTTTTTTCGAGCCGCTATTACGATCTAATAAAGACTGTTTTAGAATTTACTCGTATTACATCTAAAAGCATTCTTGAATAATCGTTCTTTTTATTTATTTAGTCTAAGACTAGCACTTTTCTGGGTTATTTCTCTTGAAATATGTTGCCATTCATTCGATTTATGAAATAATATGCTTAAAATCATAGAATATTTTACTGTAAACTTAAGCCCAGGTATCGGCAAATTTTTTCTGGTAATCCCAGCGTAGTACATCTTTAGAATTTTATCCATAAGTCTCATCAGAGTTGAAGCCGGACAGCTTTTTTCTATTTGGTTCGGTCAGCAACCGGCCGGATGAATTTTACAGCCAAACTGGCAAAAATTCGGCGAAAATAACCGACCATAAAAGTGTCTATTCACATATAATGGTGATGAAGGAGAGTCGAATATTGGTGTGCAAAAGTCCGAATTTGAAATAATCAACTTACATTTACCAAAATTTAAATAAATCGAAAAATATATTTAAAAAATTAAATTGATTTTCAATTTAAAATGGATTTATATACATTTATATTTTTCAAATTTATTTAAATCTAGTTTAAATCAATATAACATCAATTTAAACCAAATAAAATTCAATTTAAATTCATACCGTTGGATTTAAATCCAATTAAATGAGTGTACATTGAATTTAGATTGATTTAAACTGGATTTGAATAAATTTAAAAGGCTTAAATAAATTTAAAATAAACTTCAATTTACAAAATTTACATTTAAAAGATATTAAAATTTTCATCTTTAAAAAATTGTTATTTATTTGAAATTTAACTTCGCAAAAATTTAAATTTAAAATAAGTTAACAGGGCGATCGCCACCCCTAATCGGAACTGGAAACTAAAACTTGAGAATGAAACTGTCACTCTCATATTGTATAGCAAGATGCGTGGACTTTTCGAGTCCGATATCTATATAAGTTAGCTACTCAGATCAAATCTGTTTTTTTTTCATTTTAATCTCAAGAAAAAAGAGCCAGTTCACAATAAAGCTAGCACAACAGTGTAAATATTTATTTTTCGTGATTCAGGCAGCTGTCTAAGTAGAATAACAAAAACAAATTATATGATCTAGGTTAAATTAAGCGGTACACGAGAAAGGAATCGATAAAGATATAAAGAGAACAGTGAACTGTTTACAATAAGGTGGATGACATAATATTCATCGAGTCTTTCGCAAACACTCTTCTGGCGTAGAAATATCATAAAAACACCTTTTCAGTAGAGGAAATTCTTCGACACAACCAACAATTTTTTAATGATGAACTGGCAAAAATTCGGTCCTGTCCGGTTCGGTCGGACCGGTTCCAACTCTGAGAAGTATAATCCAATGCAGAGTTTGACGATGACGGTTCAAAGTTTCCGGTGACATTTTTCGAAAATATTCTTAGTTGAAAAAGCTTGTAAATTGAATAGATAGAAATAATGTAAAAGAACATACCAATCAGAGATCAAACAAAGAAATTTGAAGTCAAAAAAACTTTAAAATAGAACTATTTATTCTTTGGATCTTGAGGTTGACTGACTGTGTAGCCGATTTTTAGAAATAATGTGCATTTCAATGCATTATTTTTCAATAGGAATACCATGATTATCATGTAATTGCGTATATTATTGTTTAAAATACATTTTAATGCATTAAGAACTTCATATATTATACTCTTATCCCTTTACGCTTATTCCCTTACCCTTAATTCTATATCCTTATCCCTATTAGGTGTTGTGTCAGTGTTCATATGGGTGGATCTGAATATGAGAGAAAACAAGACCTACACCCATACCGACACTCACACCATCCCACACTATCCCACACCCACACCCCACTTTTATATTAATATAGGTGTAGAAAATTTCGAGCTAATAAATTAATCATTGCATTTTTTTTTGGATCATCGAAAACTTTTGAAAGTAATGATTTTGATTCGATTAGTCTTGGATTTGATTTTTAACTCCAGCAGGAAGACGAGATGAGCCAATTAATTTTGAAGCAACTATATCAAATAACCAAGCAGGAAGCATAGAAGCTGGATAAAACAAAAGTTTAGCATGTAAATCTGGCTGATACCGAATACGAGGTTTAGTATTCATAACAGCATGTCGAAGTGCTCTTACGACTTTGATCGGATCTTCAGCATGATTAATAAATGGACTTTTTGTTACTGCTTTTTGAAGTAAATCATCGAAAAAATCATTGCCCCATCTGCTTCGAACATCAGCTGATACTCCATTCCATAAATCTTGTATGATACGATCTTGTCCTTGAATGATTGGCGTTCGTAAACATCCTGGTTCGATAATACAAACATGTAAATTCCATGAAAACATTTCACGACGAAGACAATCAGAAAACGATTCGAAAGCATGTTTCGATGCACAGTATGCTGACATGCCTGGTGGAGTTATTAAACCCATCACTGAAGTAATATTAACAACTCGAGAGTCACGTTTAGCTATTAACAATGGTAAAAACTTTTTCGTCATTGCTACATGTCCAAAAAAATTCACATCCATTATTTTGTGCATATGTTCTAATGTTATCCAATCGATGTAGCCACCGGTACCGATACCAGCGTTATTAACAAGTGCATGAAGGACGTTTGTTTTTTCTTTGACTAATTCAAATGTAGCATTAATATCTTCTTCTTTAGTAATATCAAGACGAAAGACAGTGGCTCTTGGTGAAAGTATATCTTTAAGAGAGTTTAGGCTGGAAGGAACGAAAACACCGGCAAGAACATTAAAACCTTGTTTATCAAGCTCAATAGCTAATCCATTGCCGAATCCAGTATCACAGCCACTAATAAGAACATATTTGCCATTGGGATCAATGTTTGGTGTTGGAAAAAAATGTCGATATAAACGATAGAATATGTATAATATAATAATAAAGCCAATAGTAAGGCACATGATTACTTATTTGATAGCAATATTCGAAAGGAAAGTTTTGAGTGTTCTTTTTATCAACGGCATGTGTAATTATGATTAGAAAGCAAGAAAAAAACATGTGATACTACTTGAAAGCAAACATACCAGTAAGAACAGCATTTTATTTCGTCAAACTTTCAAAATAAGGAAAGGATCGAGTGATCTTTGTTGTAAAAATGCTGAAGCACGAAACTTTTTTGCAAATGCAATCTTACATCCAAAAAGTGTGTGGATGTGAGTGTTGTTGAGGAAAAGACCTACACACCCACACCCGACTGAATCGTGAGAGGCCCTGAGTAAAATTTTCGATAAAAAAAGGTGTATGCGTGGGCAAGTAGAAAAACATACTCATATACCCAGACCCATACTCGCAAACAGATCTAAATCATAGCAACGTCCGATGATTAATCTCCCATGATCGCAACTTGAAAAAACTATAACTAATTAGTTTATCTTCAACGTCTTTTTCGACTTTCATACAACTTTTCAATATCATCTTTAAACTGTTCGAAAAGATGAACACCGAAAACAATCCTTATCTATCTAAGTTAGAAGTGAACAAATTTGATCGATGTTCTCATATTTTCAGACCAACTGAAAAGGATAGAATCATTTGGTTTTCATCAAATTACAGTCTATAGTCTCAAGTATATTAGTAAAACATTTTAAATCAATCCATGGATTCGTTTAGTTTTTATTGATGACACAATCACAACATACTATTTCTTATCCTTTTTAAAGTCTGTTATAATTTAAAATTTACCTCATGATATATGATTCAAACGAACAATTTGCGCTCTCAACAACAAATGCAAAAGAATGTCTTTTTAACCCACACGGAAATTTTCAATTAAAAACCTACGTAACACAACTGTCACCTATACTATTCATCTATTATATTCATCGTTCACTATATCGTTAGCAAAGCACTACAAACTGTATCAAATATTCTATTTGAATAATGTTCATACATCGAAGAAAGTAGAAGTTGTTTTCACAGCGTCCAATCGTATTGAATCTTATTCCGTAAGAATCTCATATAGGAAGTTTGATAAGATGAATATCTACTCTATTGATGGGATTGTAATAAGCTTGTTTTTTACTCCTGTTATTATTTCTAGCGTAGCAAAGATATAGAGCTGAAGAGATGTAATCATAAGATAGTAAAATGACTGTATAAATGCGGTGCGAAACAATCTGAATTTTTGACAGGAAAACTTCAATTAAAATAAGAATGATTTTCCCTCTCGAACGTTGAGACACAAAATACAGATTTTTTTTTTAATAAAAAAAAAGACGCCAATGATGGAAAAAGATCCGTCTTCTAGCGACGTCTATTGTTGATTAAATCAAATGATAAAAATAATTTATTTTTATCGTTTCATTTTCTTATAAAATAAAAAAATAAATAAACTGATTTTTATATAAATAATAAAAATCAAAGATTTGTTCACATCATTTCTATCATAAAACCTCTGTATGATTAATTCAATATGAACAATATTCGCTTTTTGTTTTTCGTTTTATCTATATTTCTTTGCTATTGTATTTCTTTACTTAACAATCATTACCACTGATTGTGAAATCATAATAATATAATTACAAAATTATCTTAATTTTCTTCTATAGAAATATCGATGAAAGCCAGTCATTTTATTCATTCTTATCATTATCAAGTATCCCAATATAAGTGCACGAAAAATATCGATATTTTACATGGTAGAAAACAATATGGATGAATTAAATTTACTTCGTTCAATACTTCATTCAGATGATCATCTACAAATTCAATCATCAGAAAATTTCAATAAAATTTGTTTAAAACTTGATTATGATATTTGTATAAGTTTTTTTTATAATTCACTTAATTCATTAATAATTAATAATGTAAATGATTTACATATATCAAAATTAACAAATAAAAATTTACTTACAAATGAACAATGGATAAATATTCAAGATTATTTTAATAAACTTATTCAACAATCAAAATCTAATACATCTATTTATACATTTATTCAATTAATACAACAATATATTTTACAAATTTCAAATGAAAATTTTAAATCTAATGAAAAAAATTCTATATCAACAATAATTAAATTAAAAGAAGATGATACATCAATACAAATAGGAAAATTTCATAGTGCTGATCTTATATTTAATCGAATTGCATATGATACAACAATTGATCGTTCACAAGTTCTTATTGGTTATGAAGATCGTTTTACAGGTATTCATGAAATAAAATTTAATGAATTTAAAAAAATTCATGACGATGATGTAAGACAATTCTTTTATGTTATATTATATACATATATATTTTTTTCTTTTTTTGATATTATTAGTATGGTATTCCAATGCATCGTATTCGATATTATAAAATTAATGGATCTATTGTTTGGGATAGAACTAAAAAATATGATATTTTAACTGGAAGTGAAATACATAATGAAACTACTGCTGGTATGTAGAAAATAAATCGTTTATAGATAATTATAAAAAATTCTCCTCTTTGATTGATAGTCTAGTTGAAACTGTAAATTCATGTTTTCATAGTCAGAATTTCGATAATATTATTTGAAGTAAAATAATAAGTGTAAATTTTAAGTTAAGATTCCTATTTCTTCTTTTCCAAAGTTTCTTAGCAATGAAAAAGATCCTAAATAACAATAGAACTTCGATTGTTTCAGTTTTTCATAGATGAAAATTAATATTTATCAAGATATATATATATATATAATAGTGTATTGAAACTTACTGACTCATCTATTATTCTTGAAAATCAACTATAGTCTTCTAGATATTTTTCACTTTATTTATTTTCTATTAGTCTAAATAACACATAAGTTTCACATTTTAAACTGTGCTAACAAGTTTTTTTTTATCAATTAACAATAATAGAAAAGTATTTTTGACAAATTCTTTCGATATCAATTTTATTACCTTGTTAAATCTTAATAGATATTGAACAAGAAGAATCAAATTTAGTTGAAGGACTGTATCATTATGATCAATCAACTCAACAATGGATTTTATGTCCACATATATCTTTAGAATTAGATAATGTAAAAAATTCATCCATAGATAATATGTTTTTACCAGAACGATGTCAATTTCTAACATGGAATATACTTTTTGATTATTATCAAACTGAATTTATTTATACAAATCAACGATATAATGAAATATTAAAAACACTTAAATCATTTTTACCAGATATTATTTGTTTACAAGAAGTAACAATAAAATTTCTTAATCTTCTATTAAATGAAATTTGGTTAAAAGAAAATAATTATTATATTATTATAATGGGAAATATTCTTGATAATAATCAAAAACATTCTTATGGACAATTAATGTTAATGAAAAATTTTCAACCTAGAGCATTTTCAATATGTCCACTTGAAATATCTGAAAATATAATAAGTTCAAGAAATAAACGAACTAAAGAATATATTATTGCACGATTTGGATTAAATTTAGATGTAACTATTGATTTAGTTAATCTTCATTTACATAGTAATCATACATTTAATGCAAATGAAAAACGTTGTCAATCATTAGAATATTTTTTTAAAACAATGAATACACAAAATTATATACTTATTGGAGATTTTAATTTTGGTGATTATGATATAATAGAACAAAATATACTTCAAAAACATCAATATCAAATACATGATCTTTGGAAAGATATTTATGATCTTGATGAGGTACAAAATTTTGTTCGATATCAAAATTCAAGTTTATTTGCATGAAATTTTTACAATGAGTTTCAACTAAGAATAAAACTTGTTATCAAACTACCTGTTCAAGTTCAAATTTAAACAGTTTGTTTAAGCCCCCCACAAACGAACTTTTTTATTTTTCCATGAAATTCAATCCAAATTTCAGAGAATGTTAGCCCTTCTATGCGAGCAAAGTTTTCATGATCATGACACGAGCTAACATGGCAAGACTGTTTTTAAGTTGTAGAGTACTCTTGGCGCTAGATTCTCACAGAACCCGAATTTTGAAATTTATTTTGTTTTCTTTATAAAAAAAAAATCGTTGATAAAAATAAGATATGTAAGTTTTTTTTATTTCGCCAATAGAAAAATTCAAAAATTGGGTTCTATGAAGATCTAGCTCTAACTGTTCTCTATGCAATGTATACTCGAAAAAATAGATTTTAAGAAAAATGAAAAATAAGTTTTTAAAAATCTTATTTTTTCCAATATGTAGATTCAGAAAAACTTATATAATATTCTTAATGTTCGTTATAAAATCAATCAACTATAGTGTATTCAAGAGTAGACACTTTGCTCTATCTAACGAATTATAAATCATAAAATTGATGAATTTGACAAAAACTAACTTTGTCTGAGAGATAGTCCACCTTCAAAGCCTATGTATTGTTCATATTTTTTTTTCAGTAGTTTGCTATAACTTAACTATCATACTTATGATACTATATTGTCGACTTCATAATTAAGAATCTTTATAAAAACAATAATACCTGTTTGTATTTTTTTAGAATCCTGGTTATACATTTGATCCATCACGTAATACTTGTGCTCAAATAACATCTGATTTTCAATTTAGTCTCCGATTGGATCGATATCTACTTCATAAATTATATAATCTTTCCTATTCTATTGAACATCTAAATATGATTGGTCTTGAAACAATTTCTATTGATTCAATAAATGATAAATATATTAATCAATCAGATCATTATGCATTACAATTAATTATTAATTTTCGAATACGATCAATTAGTCAATGTTCAGCACTTGTTTTATTACCACCCATGAATAAATTGTCATTAATTGAATCATTTCATGATCCATTAATTAATCAATGGCCACCACATATTAATTTATTTTGGCCATTTTTTGATTTAATAGATACAGAAGATGATGATCAAAGTATTCTTTTACCATTAAGACTTTTACTTGCTCAATATAAATCATTTGATATAGAAATAAATGAAATTGATACATTTAAAGAAAATCATATTAATTTTATGAAATTAAATCAACAATCATTAACATATGTTAAACAATTATATGAATATATTAAACAATTTTTTCCACAATGGTCATTTAATAATGAAAATGATTATAATCCATATATGACAATAGCACAATTTGATAGTGTGAAAAAACATAAACAAATCAAACCATTATTAAGTAAGTCCTAGACATATGATGAGGATGTAGGTAGATAAAATTAATCGCATACACTCACTCTGATCAAAGTTATTAATATAAATTTCATATTTTAATCAATTTAAAGAAAAGAATATCATTTAAAATTTTTTTTTAGCTTTAAATGAACCAATTCAATTTCCTGTTCGATATATTTATATCTTACGACAAACATCTGATAATCATACAACATCATTTCATATAGCTTATCAAATACCATTAGGTTCTGTACTTGAACCAATAGGTTTAAATCCATTTTCTAATATAAGTTTTGAATTACAAGAATTTTTTAATAAAATAAATCTATATGAAAATAAAAAAGCTTATGAACAAAAAAAAGAAAAATTTAATCGATTATCAATTTGTTTTGAAGAAATTTTTAATAAAAATACATTAAATTATTTTACATATGCATTTTTTCCTTATGGAAGTTTTCGTCTAGTAAGTTTTCTATTTAAAAAAAAAATAAATAAATAATTTATTTATAAGGGTTTAAATGGAGAAGATCTTGATACTGTATTTATTTTATCAGAACAAAAATCTATAAATAATATTAATAAAACAAATCTTGATCAAATATTTTTTCAACTACGATATGATTCATTAGCATTAAATGATCAAATAATAAATTTACTTACAACACAAATTAACAATGATTTAAATAATGAAATAATTGAATGTCGAAATATTCAAGCTATTTATCCAATTATTTCGATTTTATTTCATGATCAAACACGAGTAGAAATATTTGTACAAATTAAAGAAAAATTAATAGCAAATGAACAATATTCAGATGAAACATATTTTCTTTCTAATTTTCATGAACCTATACATGGGGTAAGAGAAAAACAAAGACAAAAATCAAAATTGGGATGATAGGTAGCGTTTTTATGATTATTATTCTATGAAATGCACTTCTATAAAAAAAAACTGATCATTTTACTCTCCAAAAAGAAACATTATCTAGGACTGATAATTGAATGATATAATCATAAACTTTGAGAGAGTTAATCTGATCGTTGGTGAAGCGCTATGTACACACTAGATAAAAAAAACTATTAGTAAATAATTGTTAAAAACATTCTTTTTTTTAGGTTCATGATATTGAACGTCTTATAACTTATGTTCGTTCACCACCTATATTTCAACATTTGCTAACTTTTATTCGTACATGGGCTCAAAATGTTGGTCTATATGGTCAAGTATATGGTTATTTAGGTGGTTATTCTTGGGCAATTTTATGTGCTTATATATGTCATAGGTTTTTATTATTGAATAATTCTTATTTTTCTATTGAAGAATTTTTTATCTTAGTTGAAAAATTTTTTTCAACTTATTCTCATTTTAATTGGTCATCGGAATCAGTTAGTTTATATTCAAAAAAATCTTTTTCTGATCAGTCATCAATAGATAATCGTGGTTCAATGCGTATATTATGTCCAAGTCCACCATATAATAATACATCACGTTCAACCATAGATTCTACACGTGATTTAATCATACAAGGTTTTCAAAATGTTCATAACATAATTGAGAAAAAACTAAAATATGAAGATACTCTTAAAGAAATTCTTCAATTATCAAATCATTTTCCTGATAAAACAATACAAGCAATTCTTCAATTAAAATTATCTGGTAAAACAAACAGTGAACTTAATCAATGGATTGGTTATATGAAATCTCGTTTAGCACATTTTTTAAATGATTGTCAAAATGAATGTAATTTATTTGTTCAAACACAAAATAATGTTGAAATAAGAAAACAAAATCTTGAAAGATTTTATTCAATTGGTTTTCAATTAAATGAACAAATTTTAAGTCGTCATCGACAATTTTATTATTGTTTAAATAAATTTCTTGAACAATTTATAATATGTTCATTTCGAAGTGAAACAATGAAAATTTCATATAAATTGATGTCTATACATGATTGGAATAGTGAACGTATGAAAGCATAAATTAATTTATTGACTGTTTTTTTTTTGTTTTAATAAAGAAATTCTATTTTATATAAATTTTATTTTGATGGTATGAATTTATTTTAACTTTTTTTTTTGATTTCACAAAATGTTATCAAATATATTTGTTCGCCTATTAACATCTGTTCGACCAATTCATAACTATCAACAACATTTTGTTCGTTTATTAAGTACAGCTGAAGCGACTTCGAACGAAACTAGTAGTTCGAGTAATCGTGAAAAAGGCGTTGTTAAACGATTTTCCAAAGAAAAAGGTTTTGGTTTTATATCAAAGACTAGTGATGGAACTGATTATTTTGTTCAGTATGATTATCATTATTTTTCAAATTTTATTTATATCTTTTGTTTATTCAAGTTTTAAAAATATAAATGCAACTGGTTTTAGACTACTTGAACAAGGACAAGAAGTTGAATTTACTGCAACACAAGGTGAAAAAGGATTGGAAGCAAAAGTAGGTTACGATCATTCAAGAAATTATCAATAAATAGTTTTTCAGTAAAGAACAATTTTGATAACATGTGAAAAGTAATATTCGTACCAAAAAAAAAACAAAGATTGAGCATTGAAAGAAACGTTGAATTATTAGTTGCGGTGAATGTTTGCAGTTCGTATTTTGAATATACTGTCCCTAGAACAATATATTTTGAAAAAACAATACTTACATATTCTAAACAAGCTTCAAGTTTTCTATCACTCTTTATATTTATATTATAACTTGTACTAAAGGCTAGCAGATGATATGATTGTATTTTCGACTAGATTTTGAACATCATTATTACTATAGTAAAACTTAATTTCAAAAGTAACTCACTATTTTGAAAATGTTTGCAACTCTCTATCATTCTACATATTTGTATGTAGAAGTGAATTTATTTTCTTGAAAAATAAATTCGAAACATCATCTAAATATATGGAATGATAGAGAACTTGAAATGCTATCAGAATATAAAGTTATTCTTGAAATTAAATTTTATTATAGTGATAACGATGAGAAAATCTTCATTGCATTTTGATTTTTTTTTTGTACTTTCGTGTAAACTACAACATATATATACAGAGTGATTGAAAACGCCAAGATCTTTCAGAATATGTAACTATCAGTTTTTTAAAATATGTATATTTTTATAGAAGCAATATATTCAAAACATGGTCATGAAAATTGTGAAAGCTTCATCACATTAAATCTAAAAGTCTTGAATACTCATGTTTGTGATTAATGTAGTCGATGAATGTTACTCTCATTTAGTCATCTCTCTTGTATTTTGTTTTAATTGATATGATTTATGACATACTTCACAAGAAATTATAGAAAAATTAACGACAACCTTTAGTTCGAGGTCGAACAGCTTTTTTTTTTATGGTACCTGGCTGGGTAAATTTTTCCAAATGTTAAGTATACGAGATAGTACTAAAATAACAACAAAAAACTTTCTTCCAATGCAAAATTCCACTATAAAAGTCGTTCATAGCATGCAATTTAGTCTGCAATTCTTTGATTTGTTCGATCATGAAGTGTGAAATTTACTCGTTAACTATAGTTTAATTTGAGTTGTCTTCAAAAATCATATATTTGTGTAGACAAATTTATGATAGAAGAAGTTATGCAGAAAAATAGATCTCATAAAGAATCAAAGTCAAATGAAAAATACTTATCTTCCGTTTTTGTTCTACTGCTCTATATCACTTTGTTGATGATAAATTAAAGATTTACTGTTCACAAAAATACAGAATATGATTATGTCGGTATTTTCAATTTTTAATTGAATGCTAACATTTGCTTTTTTTTTCTTATTCATAGGATGTTAGTATTCTTAGCACTGGAACTGGTCGTAGATCATTTTTCGAACGGTCATTTAATGATGAGTTTCCTCAATCAAAAACCAATTTTGGTAAATTTTCAAGAAATCAATCATCATCATCGTCTTCATTCAATTTTGGTGGTACTCGATCTTCTAAATTAAATTCTAACGAACAAGAATCAACATCAACAGAAAAAGCTTTTAAATTTAGTGAAAATTTAACAAATTCTTCTAAAGATAATTTTTTTTCTTCAAAAAAACCACAAATTACTAATGAACAAACTCGTGAATTCGGTTCAGTAAAACGATGGACACCTGAACGAGGTTTTGGTTTTATTCGACGAACAAATAGTAATCAAGATCTTTTTTGTCATGTTCGAAGCCTTAAAGATGGTGTACAATCACTTGAACCGGTATTATTTTCAACAATTTAAATCGCAAGAAACAACTACATTTCATTTTATCTTAGGGACAAACAGTTGAATTTAGTATTCATCAAACAGACAAAGGTGAGGAAGCACGTGATGTTGTTATTGTAAAAGACGATAGTCTTCAAAACCAACAACAAGACTCAACTTCAACTGCAAATCTTGGTGAACGTCAGACAGGCACTGTCAAAAAGTGAATATTAGAATTTTGTTGTATTATGTTTTGATTTCAATAAATCTTTTCAGATGGCTAACAGGAAGAGGTTATGGATTTGTGGAACGTGATACTGGCGGACCAGATGTATTTGTACATGTTCGAAATTTAACTAATGGTATTCAATCATTAGAAGAAGGTCAAATAGTTGAATTTAATATAATAAAAAATGAAAAAGGTGAAACGGCACAAAATATAACCGTTTTTAGTGAAAAAAGTGAAACATCAGACACAATGTAACTAACTGTTCGTAGTGAAACATTAAAATGAATGTGTTTTGTTTGTTTTGAAAAATAAAATAAAGATAAGAAGAAAATAAAACAAAGAATAGAAGAATTTTGTTTTTTCCTAATATTCATCTTGTTTGTTTGTTTGTTTTTTTTTAATTGAAGAAAATTATTTAAAAAAAAAAAATGAAAAAAAATCGTAAATTAGTTAAACATGCAAAAAATCTTTCTTCATCTGATCTTTATAATTTTATTCTTCATTCAAATAAATCTATACAAAATAATTATCAAATTAAAATATATTATGCTACAGAATTATCAAATGAATATCAAAAACAAATTATAGAATTATTTGAAATGAATATGAAAACATTTTATGAACAATCAAATGATGGTTATAATATTGATGAAAAACAAAAAGAATTATTTTCTAATCAATCACGATATTTACTTATTTTATTTTCAAATCATTTATTAGCATTTGCACATTTTCGTTTTGATATTGATTATGGTAATCGTGTTTTATATTTATATGAATTACAAGTAAATAAAAATTATCAAGGACAAGGTCTTGGTCTATGGATAGTAGAACAAATGAAAATATTTTGTCAAAAAACACAAATGTTAAAAATTGTATTAACTGTTCATAAAATTAATAAGAAAGCAATTGATTTTTATATAAAAAAATGTCAATTTGAAATTGATATTACTGATCCGAGTGATGAACCTGTTGATTATGTTATTCTTTCTTTTACTGTATAATTTTTTTATGTGCATATTAATATAAAATGCATTCATATTTGATATTATGATTACAATAGAAGTTGAATAGATTCTAATGAATGGCATTTGAATTGTTTGCTATTGAAGATAGTAATTTTTCTTTCGATATAATAAGGAATGAGAAAACACACAAACACAAGTATTTATATATAAATACAAAGAAAAATTTGATAATAAATAAGAGAATCTTTATTCATTACATCAAAGTTTAAAAAAAATTGCTAATGAATGTGTAACGTAAGGAATTGAAAAATCATATGTACTATTTCTTCAATTAAACACTTTCATCTATGATTGAAAAGATAGCTTAATTTAAAATTCAATGCTATTAACTCTTAATGTTAAATATCATAGAAACATACAGTGAAGTTCAAAATGCATTATTTGCTGAGCGCTTTAGATTGTTGCGGATCCTTGAATTCAAAAATGAAAATAAAAACAAATCAATGAATTGTATTTATGTCCATACATTTGAGACGCTCTTCATGTCACGGAAAATATTTCCAACGAACTGTTCTTCCACTGAGATCATGAAATATCCTTTAAATTCGATTGTACATCTAACATATGACAGTGTTTTCCGAATATCTCCAACTGAGGAAAAACAATTCAGCATTTTATTGCGAAATTCACGTTATTTTTTTTTTTAAACATGAGGTATGTGGTGAATTTAGATCATCACTCGATAAATAAAATCAATGCATTTTCAATCACTACTAAGATTTTACGATTTAGTCAAAAAACGACAAAAAATTCGATCATTCTTTACTATCTATCGATTGTAAGAGTAAACTGTCCTTAAAATAAATTATAGTGATTAATTCAACAAAACTTTATCGTTTGTTAAGATATTGTCCAATCATGAACAAAAGTATTTTATTTCTTTTTAATACATCTATGAATAAACAACATATACTCTCATTATTTCTCAATCAATGTAAAATCGGTTATATTTTCATCATTAACTTGTTCATAGACAAAGAATAGCAATCAATATTTACAAACTTATATGTAAATCATGACAATCATTAGCCAAGTAAAAGAAAAGTATTCTTTTTCATCTTATTTATGATTTACTACGAACAAAAATCTTAATCTCGCTCTATAAAAAAAAAAGAATATTTTCATAGAAGTAATTAATAAATTTTTAAGTGTTTATTTCAGATTTATTCATGACTTTTAAAAAGATATTATTTTTCTTATTTTTCATCTATATACAATCATCATTTTCATCACCAATAATTAATATTATTTTTACTGTAAAAAATCTTGCAATAAATGAACATTTACAATTAAATTTTCAAACAATGATTACTTCATTATTTCAACATACATCTATAGATAATCTTCGTTTACATGTTATTGGTGATTCAGATAGTCATCATTTTGTTGATCAAACTCTTCAAACATTTCATTATAATCATCAAGTAATTAAATTTTTCTTAAAAACAAAAACTTGATTGTGTTTTTGTTTTGTCCTATTAAGATAAATAAACTTAATATCGATAATTTAACATTAAAATATGAAAAATTAATCTCATCATTAATTAAACATTTTTCATCTGATCATACATATTATAAAGATCCATTATTTTTTCTATCACCATTTTTACATCGAATTTTACCAGAAAATATTTCACATATTATTATGCTTGATATTGATCTTCGATTTGATAATGATATAAAAGAATTATATAAATTATTTGATCAATTTAATCAAAGTCAAATATTAGGTAATAAAAACAAAAAAAAAAACTGTAAATTTCATCTATCAAATTATTTTCAAATTGATATAGGAATTGCACGTGAAAATCAACCTGTTTATAGACATCTTCTTTGGTTATATCGTCAAGAAAATCCTCATACTAATATTGGTAATCCTCCACCATATGGTATAACAGGTTTTAATAGTGGTGTTTTATTACTTGATTTAAATAAAATTCGTCAATCAATATTATTTAATAATTATTTAGAAAATTCATATCTTATTGAACAACTTATTTATAAATATCATTTTAATCATCCACATTTAGGTGATCAAGATTTTTATACATTATTAAGTTTTGAACATAATGAATTATTTTTTATTTTACCATGTTATTGGAATAGACAATTATGTACATGGTGGAAAGGTAAAGGTTATGATGATGTTTGGGAAAATTATTTTAATTGTAATAATGAACAAAATATTAGTTTATATCATGGAAATTGTAATACACCTATACCAATGAGAACATTTAATGAAAAACTTGAACTTTAAAAAAAAAAGAATGTTACTTTTCTTTATGTGTATTATACTTTTTTTTTGTTTTTTTTTCTATGGTTGAGAAGGAAAAGAAAAAAGAAATAAAAATGAAAACTAATAGTGTCTCACAGTTGTGAGGTGAGAAATACAACAAAAAAAAGAAGAAATTCTAAATTACTTTGTAGTTGTTAGCAACAACTATAGTGTGTAAAAAGTTAAGTTTTTATTAATATTGAAATATATGGTAAGTTAAATATGAAAAATAAAATAGATATGTAAAAAATATTTATTTAGGAAGACGAAGAAAATTCTCAAATAGATCGTAATACAGATAATGAAGATGTTGATCAAGGAATGGGTAAAAAAAAAGAAAAGAAATATTCTTTTTCTTTTTTTTTTGAATATGTATAAAGATAATTGTCGATGGTTTTTTTTAGTCGAATTACATGAAGTCTTTTCAAGATTTAAAGATGATCCTAATGATGATTTTATTAATATTAATCGTTTGACTCAAGTTTTACAAGCACTTGGTAGGAATCCTTCATTAAAAGATTCTGAACAAAGAATAAATGAACTTGAAGCAGATGGTAAGAAAAATGTTCTCATTTAATAGAAAGTTTGCATTTTCGAAAGATTCTATTAGATAAAATTTTTTTTTGCGCAGCTCACATATTTACGCCTGAAACCTTAGTAATTAACCGAAGGGAAGCTAAAGATTATTGGATACGTTTCCATAGAAACAGTAGGAGTAGGTCAATGATCATTCGGTACATTTGCCTAACAAAGAAAAAAAAGGTGCATCAGTAATAACAATACTTAGATTCTATTGGAACTTGATAGAAACTTTCTAAACATTCTATAAATCGAAAATTTCTATTATAACTTCGAAATAATCTAAATACGTCAGATTTCAAAAGGATCTTATTGTAGATGTCAATCAATAGGACCAAAATAGAAAAGTATGAATCGAATGAATTAACAGTCTATGTCACCATTCGTCAAGAAAACGAATGATGTGCTCAGAAGTTTCCTAAACGATTCTATTAATATGTTTATAGCAGATTCATAAATTTCATAGCTCATGTACCAATTATAAAAGTTGTTATAATTTTCATTGATCTGATATTTTTTTTTTCAATAAATTCTTTTAATTGCTCTGAAAATATACTATAAACTTATACCAACTATTGATCTTTCAAGAAATGGCATAATGTATCTATACTAAATAATATTCATTGACTTTCTTTCCTGCACTTAGTAATATTATTTTTGAAAGCATTTCAAGATACTCAACTTTTTTTTCCATTTCACTGGTTTTTATGCTTTTTTCTTTTTTTCTTTTAAGGAAAATTTGAATTAACATTTGAAGATATTTTACAAATAGCCGAAGAATCATGGACAGTAATTAATAATGATCCTAATGGTCTTCGTCAAGCTTTAGAAAAATTTGATTCAACACAAGAAGGTTATATTGATATTGATAAATTTCGAACAATAATGACAACACTTGGTGAACCATTAACTGATGAAGAATTAGATGATCTTATTCAATTAGGTTTAAATGAGGAACAAACAAAAATAAATATTAATTGTAAGAATTTATTCATTTTTCTTATTGATTTTTCCTTTTTTTTTTTTTTAATTTTAGATTTACTTGATCAATTACTTGGCAACAATACATAATCATTTTGCTTTTCTCTTTTTTTTTCTTTCTCATTATATATCTAATGTGATAACAAAAAGAAAAAAAAAAAACAACAACAACAACAAAAATATAAATAACAGTATCTGGCCTTGAGCAGCAATTTGAAAAAAAAACAAAACTTCAAGCAAATAAAAGGAGATGAAAGAGAGCATAAACGAAAAAAGAAAAAAAAGAAAAAGAAAACACAAATAGAACACATTATACATCATGGGATAATTGTCTATGAACACCATTAGATTTTTCATCGGTTTTAAGAAAACTTGTAGTATTTTTAAGTGGACATAAATAATAGAAATCCGATTGAAATTCATCAGGAATAATTGATGATGATATATGATTTTCCATATGTTCATTTCCTATTTCTTGATGATTCATATTTGTATTTGATATTTCATTTACCCATGGATATGTTAAAATTTCTTTTAAAATTTTATGACTTTGATTATCAAAATTTGATAATGGAGGAGAATTAAGAGATTGAGATGAACGATTTGAATGAACTTGATAATGAATACCATTTGTTAATGGCCATGAAGCTGATATTAAACCAGTTGAACTTGATAAATCAGCTGATGTCGTTGTTGTTAAACTCGATACCGAAAACTAAAAAAAAAAAGAGAAATTAGCTCGTTATTATTCTAAAAAAAAAAGTTTTCTAACTCTAACCTGTTCAGCACGTAATAACTCTCCAACATGATCTTCACTTGAACAACTTGATACATTTTCATGTTTCCACTAATAAATAATTATAAACAAAAAAGTAAAAACAAAAAAAAAAAAAAAATTCTATCTTCTTATCATACTTGTGGATTATTTGGTGATATATTAAATGATTCTAATTCGGAATACCAATCAAGTTCTTCATCAACTTGTAAACAATTTAAATCATCTTCACGCATAATACTATCACTACTACTATTCATTTTTATTTGATTTTCATCTAACTCATCATCATCATCATCATCATCATCATCATCAATTGAGTGAAATCGATTATCATCAAAATAACATGTACTATTGACAATGTCATCATAATTACTATCAAGCCACGCACGTAATTGTGAATCTGAACCATATGTTGTTAACATATAAAATTCCATTGAATAATCACGTATTGTATCTAAATGATATACATTATGATTTATTTCATTATCTTTAGAACAAAGTTTTTGATATATATCAGAATCTGATAATATTCGACGATAAAATAATATTCGACCAAGACGTGGTGGAAATACTAAACGATGTACAAGATTTTTATCTTTTTTTAATGTTGTTGACATTTTTATTAATGGTGAAATCGAACGAGATAATGATGATGATGTTGTTTTATTTAATTCACTATCTTCACTACTTAAATTATCATCAATCAAAAGAAAATATCGTCCATCACTAGCCATTTGAATATTTTCTTGTCGTATAGGACCATTATATAAAGCTGGACTTGTTGATATTTCACTTTTTAATGGTACTATATGAGATAAATTACTTTCACATGATGAACGTATACGTGACCATGATGTGATAGATGATGATATAGGAATATCTTCATTTGATGAACTATTTTGTGTATTATCGTTGTTAATTACTTGAGTTAATGTATCTAAAGAATAATATATATATTTATTTATATGTAGCTCTTTCTTTTTTATTTGTTATTGTTTGATGGAAATGAAATAATATAATGTCAGTTTTTCAATGATTAATAGGAGAAATGAGACAAACGATAATGTTCTTCTCGTCAATGACATTCTCTGCTTAAAAAATACTTAATAGTTATACATATGACAGACATTAGTCTATATGAAGAAGGTTAATATTTTGTTAGATAAAATATAAATGGTTATTTTTTTTTGTCACATAAGTCTATACTACAGTTAAGCATACAAATAAACTCCTATATGGTTCATTTCATAGAGAATATAACCCGATGGACTGTAGTCGTCTCAGAAATGTATATGATATATCAATCACTAAATATAAAAATATCATAAAAAAGTATCTCATATCTTTGAGGCGACTTAAACTACAACTCAACTACGTTCGGATCCGATAGATTTTATTTTGAAGTCTACATTGATATATGATAAGAAAATTTTAATAAAAAAAAAATAGAAACAAGAAGAAACTTACTGCCATTAAGTAACTTTCTAATATGATAATGTTCATTAAGACTATCTTCTGAAAGATCACGTGTAATAGCAGAAGTAGTAGATGATGAATCATCATTTTTTATAATGATTTGATTATCAAAAGATTTCTTATCTGTTATTTGTCCTAATGATATTGGAGTTAAAGTTGAAGGTGTTTCATCAATATTTGATTCATATGATATTTCATTAGATGCTGCTGGTAGTGGTTGTGGTGATGGTGATGATGATGATGATGATGATGATGTTTCAGTATTTAAATGACAAGAAAAAAGTTTTAATTCTTGACTACGAACAGTTCGAACTACTTTAACAGAATCTGTTGAAAATAATGAACGTCGAATATTATTCACAATTGGTGGTGGAAAAATAATTGTTGATTTTAATTCAATATTATGTGATGTATTATTATTATTATTATTATTATTATTATTAATATGTTTTTCTGCCATTAATGCATCAAGATCAGAAACACGAGGAGTTGCTACTGATGATGATACAGATGGAATAACAACAGATGTTTGTGTTTTGATATTATTAGTCGAAGGATTTGTATTATTTAATTTAGATTTATTAACAACTGTTTGTGGTGGTCGTGAACGTGTTACTGTACCATTAGCAGAACGTAATTTTTCAGGTGATTTTGATAATGTATAATGAGGACGAATTGATTTATTTGTTGTTGGTGATGATGATATTGTTCGTTGAGATGTTGGTGTTAAAATTGAAGGACGAAGTTGAACACGTGGTGAACGTTGTTGAACTGGTGTTGTTGATAATGCTGGTGGTGGTGCCGGTGGACGAGAAGGACGAATAGGTGGTGTATTTGCAATCTAAATTATGAAAAAGAAAAAGAATTGATAATATTATTAATATTCATGAGACAGTTTGTTGTTTTTTTTTGCTGCTGCTGCTACTGTTCTCTCTCTCTCTCTTTCTCTCTTGCACTTACGCGAGGAGACCTTGATGTATATGTTGTTGTCTTTATCGGTGTATTTTTAACGATAGGTGACATACGACGTGGTGTTGATACAGTATGTGTACGAGAATTAAGTTGTTGATTTGTTGTCGGTGAATCAACTGTTGATGGTGTCTGTATTGGTAATCTTTCATGATTAGAATTGATACGTTGTTGTTGTGTTTGTCGATTTTTATTTAATGTTGTTGGTGTTAGATGTACAGGCGATGAAATTTTCTTATTATTATTATTATTATTATTATTTCTATGATGTTGTTGAAGAACATATGTTGTAGAACGTACAGGTGATGATATTGGACGACGATTATTTAATGTTGATGATGGATTATCCATAGGTATCATTTGTAGATTTGATGAACGATGTTTATTACGCATTAATACTGGTGGTGTTTTTTCATTATCACCATCAGGTTTATGTGATGCAAAATAAAATTCATTAGTAAGACCTGTTGATGGTATATGACATTTAGATTTAACAGTTGCCATTGCAGATGAATAAACACTTGATTGACTTTCACTAATGTGTAAGTCTATGAATGAAAATAAAAACAAAAAATATTATTATAATATTTATTTATTTATTTGTAAAAAAATAAAAATAAAAATAAAAGATTGATCTATTTGTTTGAATCTTAACTAATAATTTATCTTTCTTACCAGTACAACAAAGTGCTCTATAGAAACGTTTTTTATTTCTACGTCTTTTTGATCTAGTAGAAAAAATTTCTGTTTGTTGTTGTAATTTCATTTGTCGAAGTGCTTCGAAGGCCATTTGTCTTCGTTGTCTATTCATTGTACGAAATTTGAAAGGTGATGATAAATGTGTTTTACTACAACAATCAGCTAATAAACTATCACATTCACCATAATAATATTGTATTGAATCAGGTTCATTTAAACTATTATCTAATAAAACCATGTTGTTGTTTTTTTTTTCTTGAATGATTAGACCAAATAAGAATAAATTTTGTATGTATGTATGAGAAAAAAGAAATTCGATTGTGAACGAATGATTGGAAAGGTAATACGCGCGTTCGCTCTTAATCTTGATTTATCCCATTTCGGACAACGTCCCGAATATATGTTTTGTTTTTTGTTATTGAGCGACAAATAGATGATAATAGGATAAGAGAGAAGAGCCAGTGAACACAAAAGACAAACGACGTATGTGAATGTCTATCAGGGGCGATGAGGGAGAGAGAAAAAAAAAGTAACGAAAATGACAAAGAGAAAAAGCTTTGCTTTTTTCTAACCGTTATGACGATAATATGAAGAGAACACAACACGAGTAGTCGGGGTTATTAATTAGAATGAATAAAAGCTTAAGTCTGTTTGTAAGCGAGTATCTATATATGTATATGCATAAATATATGTCCACGTTCGACTTTTGTTTCTGTACTTTATCAATATGTTATTGATGCATAAGCACGAATGACTTATTTGGTCTTACGAATATATATATATATATATGACATACGAATAAGTACCGCCCAATTCTAAGACATATATATTGTCGTTATGCCATGTCATAGCATACATACTATATGCAACAATCACAAAGATGGATACATTTATATGGCATCAACTCTTTTCTTCTCTCTTTGCATATATCAAATTTCATTCAATATTATTACTATTATTATTATTATTATTTCAACAAGCTAAAGAAGGTTGATTCTGATGACTTTTAAAAGAGAGCAATAGTAGCCAATAGAAAATCTATGAACAAGATGATTGTCGAATGCTTGTTATAAAATAACTTATTTTATTATTGAATACTCTGAGAGACAGAAATTTTTGTATGTACAATGTATATTATATTTCAATTTCTTTTACTTTTTCTTCTCCT